TTTGGAGATGTAGAAGGGAAGGAATCAAAGAGGACAAAACAGGGAAATAAACAAAAAAAAGGAATAAGTCAAAAGAGACAGTGGGAGGGATGGGGCAAGATGCAGATGTAAATTTAAAACTAAAAAAAAAAAAAATTCCTTTTCTTTCATGTTCTGAAGCGCACGTGAATCCCTGTCTGGTGTTTTCTATGAAACATTCTGTAGTTTCACAGACAACAGCCTGCTACTGGCATTAAAGGAGTTACTTTCCACACAAAAGTGCTGGTTTCCCCTGCAGAAGGCAGTTAGCCCTTGAGGCCCTATCTGGAACACCTGGCTCTGGGAAGAGCTGGAAGCTCTTGGAGAACAAAGGCCTACAGAGCCAAGTGGGAGGGGTCAAAGGAAGCCAGTCAGTCACCTGGTGACTTCCTTCTCGTCTGGAGAAGCTTTTTTGATCCCTTTCTCTCTGCCCTCTGGTGACGACCAGGTTAGAAACTGAGGGTGGTGGTGCTGTGTAGACAAGTAGGGGATTTCTCTCTCAGTAGCAGCTCAGAGTTGTAACTGTGAAGAGGTAGCAAATGCCACTGGAGAAGCTCAGAGGCTTGGCTCGCAGGGGCCATAGGTGGGAAGGTTGAGCTTGGCCTTTGTCATCAATGCACAGGAGGTCATCAAGTTGCTTTCCTGGTTCTGAACCCTACACGGGGTCATCGTGTAGACAGCAGGGAAAGAAAGGGGATTTCAGAGCTTCTGATACTTCTGGGTATAAGTTAACTAAAATATGTTAATAAGTCAAAACTAAGAGTGGTTTTTACAGATGAGAGAAATACAGGCTCCCAATGAATATTAGCAGGCTTATCTGGCAATCTGCAAAGACATGAGATTTCTTTAAACATTAAGGAATTTCCTATGAAGCAAAAGGCCATGTAATGTCTTGCCATTTGCTAGTCTGCTGATTTGGGAAAATCACCCCAGAGTAGTGGTTACTAAACTTTAGCAGGCATAAAATTCCCTATAAGAGGACTTGTAAAACACAGATTGAGGGGTTCATGCCAGGAGTTTCAGATTCAGCAGGCTTCCTATTTCATCTAATTGGTTATAATCTGTTTTAAGTATTATTTATTATCTATGACAACACTGATTATTAAATAATCATTTATTAGTAAATTTATATTAGTTATTTTAATGACTAAATTTATTAATTATAATTATACTTACTGATAAACATTATTTATCTCATTAATGAACTTTTTGAAAGGCAGAGTGAGAGAGAAGGAGAGACACAGAGAGCGATCTTCCATCTGCTGGTTTACTCCCTAAATGACTGCAATGACTGGGCCAGGCCAAAGCCAGGAACTTGGAACTCCACCTGGGTCTCCCATTTGAGTGGCAGGGGCCCAAGCCTTTGAACTAGCTTCTGTTATTTTCCCAGGTGCATTCACAGGGAGCTGGATCAGAAGTGAAGCATGGAACTAGCCTTAAAAATTGTTTATTTTGATGCTCAAATTGTCCTTCATTTGCAATGGGGAGGAACGGTCAAGCCAGATTTTCTACCTAATGTATACTCATTGTACCTGGCTCTCTGCTCAAGAAATTCCTTCTTTTCCTCGGACTCTGCCTTTTGGAAAAATAAGTATATCTTCCCCCTGTCCCCCTCCCCCCCCCAAAAAAAAACCCTCTCCTGAAGGCATAAAGGGCCTTCAGGATTATTAAATGTGACTGTCCTTCATTTTAACATGTACTACAAGTCTTACAGGGAGCTTCGAAGACCCCTTGTCCTGAACCAGTTCTGACGCACTGAAGGCACTCATGGATTGGAAGGGTGGAGACAGCGTCCAGAGCAGACCAGTGTTATCTGCACTCCTCACGTGACGAGGAGAAGAGTGTGCATTATCTGTCTGTCATAGAGGATGGGGAAGGGGCAGGAGAAAAGGATGTGGGCTCCTCAGCAGGAGAGCCAGCGCTACAGCTGCAGAGGGATGCCAGTTGGCAGTCAGAGCCAGTGTGAACTTCCCAGGGCCGCCATAGCAGAGTACAGCCATGTGTCACCCACAGGGACACACCCTGAGACAATGTCACCATTTCCTGAGATGATTTCACCATTGTGTGAACACCATAGAGTATACTTACACAAGCCTGGACGGCATAGCCATCTCCACACCTAGGCTAGATGGAATTTATATGGTAGATATGTGAGCCTGTTCCCAGGACCACGATGAAAACAACGTGAGATTGAATCACACACAAAGGAAGCTGGTGTTGTGGCATAGGAGGTTAAGCCACCACCTGTGACACCAGCATCCCATATGAGTCCTTGTTGCTTCACTTCCAATCCAGCTCCCAGCTAATGCACCTGGAAAAGCAGCAGAAGATGGCCCAAGTGCTTAGGTCCTGTACCCACATGGGAGATTTAGAAGAAGCTTCTGACTCCCGGCTTCAGCCTGGCACATTCATTTGGGGAGTGAACGAGCAGATGGAAGATCTCTCTCTCTCTCTGTCTCTGTGTGTGTGAGTGACCCTCTCTGTGTAACTCTGCCTTTCAAATAAATAAAAAATAAATCTTAAAAAAAATCAAACACAAGAGAAATGATCAACCAAGGGATGGAGTAATCATCAGGTTATGTGAAGCTGGTGCCAGCATCAAACACTTTCCCGGGAAGCTTATGTTTAATAAGTAGAAAGAGTATATTCTAAAATGATCATAAAAGTATAGTAAATACATAAACCAGTAACGTAGTCATTTATTATCATGATCAAAGATTATGCAGTGTACATAATTGTATGTGCTATGCTTTGATGACTGGCCAGGTAGGTTTGTTTACGTCAACAACAACCCAAACATGTATGTTAGGATGCCTGTGATGACATCAGTAAGTCAAGGGAAATTTTTTTTAAAGATTTATTTTATTTGTTTGAAAGGCAGAGTGAGAAAGTGATAGAGAGAGAGAGAGACAGAGAAAGAAATCTTGTATCAATTGGTTCACTCCCCGATGTCCAAAATGGCCAGGGTTGGGCCAGGCTGAAACCAGAAACCTGGAACTCCATCTGGGTCTCCCATTTGGGCACTTGGACCATCTTTTGCTGCTTTCCCAGGTGCATTGCAGGGAACTGGATTGGAAGTGGGCCAGCTGGGACTTGAACCAGTGATCTGATATGGTAGGCTGGCATTGCAGGAGGTTGCTTAAACCCCTGTGCCACAATGCCAGACTTAGTGATAGAAAATTTTCAACTCTATTATAATCTTATTAGACCACTGTCATATATTTGGTCCATCCTTGACTGAAACTTTGCTATGCAACTTGTGACAAACTTGGCAGCTTAAAGGACAGGAACCTCTTGTAGTCTAGAAGTCTAAAATCAAGGTGTCAAGAGGACTGGTTCCTTCTGAGGACTCTGAGGGCAGGATCGGTACCAGGTCTCTTTCCTTGGCCTACAGATGGCCATTGCCATGGGTTGGGTATGGTTTAATTGTGTGTTCCCACCAAGGTCCATGTGATTGAAGGGGTGGTTCCCAATAGCAGATTTAGAAGGCCAGCCCTGTGGTGTACCAGGTTAAGCTGCCATCTGCAGTGCTGGCCTCCCATATGAGTGCCCATTCAAGTCCTGGCTGTGCCACTTCTGATCCAGCTCCCTGCTAATGCTTTTGGGAAAGCAGCAGAGGAGGGCCCAAGCTCTTGGACTCCCACACCTGTGTAGGAGACCTGGAAGGAGCTCCTGGCTCCTGGCTTCAGACAGGCCCAGTTCCAGCCATTACAGCCATCTGGGGAGTGAACCAGCAGTTGGAAACTGTCTCTTTTTGTAACTCTGATTTTCAAATAAGTAAATAAATCTTAAAAAAAAAAAAAAAAAGCAGGGTTGAGGTCCAGGTCATGGAGGGCATGCCCTCAGAAGGTAGACTTCATTCTCGGGGACCCCTCAGGTTCTGTTACAACCGGGGCAAGCCTGGTCTCACCCGGCTCTCCGTGCTCTGGTTCCAGATGTAACCACTTGCCTGCTCGGGCATTCGCTCTCACCCTTGCCATGCACCCCCTACGTGATGCAGCCACCAGGTGGCCCTTGCCGAGCCTGCGCCATGCTGTTTGACCTTGGAGCCTCCAGAACGTGAGCTAAAGCAATCTCTTTTCTTCGTAAGCGATTTGACTCTGGTGTTTCCTTTGGGAGATGAAAAGCCGATTGATACAGTTGTCTTCTCCCTGTGTCTCTCCGTATCCTCTAGGCACACCTGCATCCAAATTTCCTCTACTTACAAGGACCCGCCATGTCGGAAGAGGGCCCTGCTTGTAATCTCATTTTAGCTTGATTACGTCTATAACAACCTTATCTCCAAAGAAGGCCACATTCTGAGGCACTGGGGGTTAGGACTTGAACGTGTGAATTTTGGAGGACTACAGTTCAGTTAGCCTATTGAGCCACGGCGCCGGCTGGTTTAGTGCCTTTCAAAACTCACCTGGTGCCCATGTACCCATTCAACAGCCACAACTGTCAAAATGTAGGCTCCTTAAAGAAACACAAACACCAGAATGACACATGGCTGTTGCTGCTTATCCTCAAGAAGGTATTTGTGTTACCTGAAACATCTGCTGGTCTACCTTGGCCAGATCCTTTAAAGTAAAAGCACAGGCAGCCAGGCCATGGATGACCACCAGGATTCACTGCCTGCCTGGTCTCCTCTTCCTTTTTCTCATTTACTTTTCACTGCTGCTTGGCTGCATACTCACCCTTTGGCCCTCTTGGCTAGCCCCTCCCCTTCTGCTTTATTGCCCTAAGTTGTCTTTTCCCTCACTACCAGTTCACCTCTTTTCTCTTTCGCTGGAGGATGAGGATATTTGCAAGCAGACAATGCACCTTTTAGGAGGTGATTTGAACTCCCTCCTCAAACATCCGAAAGAAGGGGGACATCTCCCTCCCTGTGACGGAGCATTGAAAGGAGGGATGAGTTGCATTCTTTAGAATGGTTTCTGATTAAACTTCTTGACTTAAGGAGAAGCGAAGTCAGTTGCCTTTCCCAAAGGAGCAGATTTGTGGCTTGGCCTCACCATGGTTTCCTGCCGTGCCTGCAACCCCAGGCTGCTGGTGGCCCTTGTGTTTGGGCTGCTGATGACCATCGTTCTGGGACTGGCCATCTGGAGGCTGGTGATCAGGATCCAGAGAGGTAATGGCTTCCTGCTACAATTATCTCAGAGAGAAAGAAGGCATTGCGCCTCTGTCCCTGCTGCCTAACTGCCACTACTGGAAAGTTCCTAGTCGTTTGATGGCTGGAGGGTGGTTGTATATATGACGGTGTATGTGTGCCTGTGAATGGGAAAGGGGAAGGATAGCATGGTTGAATTGGCTTCTTTTTTAAGGAAAAGGGTTTATTGGGGGAAACCCAATAGACTATAGGGGAGGGGTGAAGAAGGAAAACAGAGAAGGAGAGTGAGAGAGCAAGAGACAAAGATCAGGAGGTGGAGAGAAAGAGAGCCATATGTTCAGGAACAGGTCCTTTTAAAACTTTGCTGGGGGGCGGGCAGGTTGAATTGGCTTCTTTATGCTCTTAACTCCTGGCCGAATTGATAGCAGAGTAATAACAAAAATCATTAGTAACACATGTTTTGGCTTGTTTGGCAAATTCGAGAAAGGTAAATAATTATGGGCATACATATGTACTTGCATACACGATCAAACGTGCAGAATGAAATTGTGTTTTAAAAAGAGAAGCTTAGTCATCTTATGCTAAGTAAACTGACTTTATGGTTTACTCAAAATGTCTCACTTTCCAGGTGTAGAACATTACCCGAAAATTAAAATCATTAAACAGTGATTTTTTTTCTCCCTGGTGATTCAAGAAATATTTTCAGGTTCCCTGCTGTGTACCAGCAGTGACATGGGAAAGGCAGGCAAGGGAGGGGTAGTCATGTATGAAACAAGGATGTTCAAGAAAAACTCTGGGGAACTAAGAAACTCAAAAATCCCAAGGCTGGTTCCTTAGGTTGCAGAGGTTCTCCACGAAGGGATTCCACGTTGGGTGTGCTGTAGAAAGTTTCTACAGAGGCTGGGTAAGTAGGGGTAACGCATGCCAGTCAAGGGAGCTGCAAGACAGGCATCTGAGCAGGAGGGTGGGGGTAGCAGGCAGGAGCACAACGTGTGGCTGCAAAGATCCGTTGCTGAGGACAACAGGGGTCAAATCCATTGACTGCTGATGGGGTGCTGGTAGCTGGGAATGGGACTGCCCCTCTCCCCTAAACAGCAATATTTACAGGATACTATATTAATAGAATTTAGAAAAGTAGAAAATGTGTCAATCAAAATAATAAAATTTAAGCTCAGGAAAAATGTGATTTTGCTTGGATAAGGTTTGTGTAAAATAGTTTAATTCATATTTAAAAAATTATGAACTAGGTGTTTTGCCTAGTTAGGGCTGCTAAATTTGTGAGATTTCATTTAAGGGGTCCATATTTATGAAGTCTTTTCTTCCTTCTTTTCCTCTTACTTGTGACACCTAACTTATAAAAGACACAGTTACACGGGGCTGGCCCTGTTAGTGTAGTGGGTAAGGCTGCTGCTTGCAGTGCCGGCATCCCACTTGTGCACCGATTCAAGTCTGGGCTGCTCCACTTCCAATCCAGCTCCCTGCTAATGGCCTGGAAAAGCAGCAGAAGATGGCTCAAGTGCTTGGACCGCTGCAGTCACGTGGGAGACCTGGAGGAGGCTCCTGGCTGCTGGCTTTGGATCAGCCCAGCTCTGGGTGTTGCAGCCATTTGGGGAGTGAACCAGCAGATGGAGGATCGATCTCTCTCTCTCTCTCTCTCTCTCTGCCTTTCAAATAAATACATCTTTAAAAAAAAGATACAGTTACACTAAGTCTGATAAAACAAAGCCCAAAGTACAGAAACCACATAAGGAAGAGGGCTGGGTGAGAGAGGGAAGGCTATAATAGTCAAAGTTTATGGGGAGTTGCTTAAAATAAATACAAAAACATATCTTTGGGATTCCTGACCCAAAAGAAGAATAGTCAGTAATGAAAATCTCGATAGACGCACACCAGCCCCCTAGAAGAATCATTTTGCCTTGCTCTGCTTTATTCAATTGGTTTTTTATAAAAAGAGCTCTCCCTCAGTTTTCAGGTAAACTTTCTTTTTTTTTTTTTTTTTTTTTTTTTTTTTCAGGAAAAGGAGACAGTTACCATTATCATTTAAAGAAAAAGACAGAAAGACTGGGTCTGTTTGTTGTTGCTACTACACCTTGCGTAGTTAGTACACAGAGCATCTTGCTGGGTACATTCTGTTCTATTCCATTTTATGCCCTTCTACTCACTGAGCTCCTGTCTACTCCACTGCTTTCTTCCCATCAAATCTCATGCAGCTGTTGAATGTTCTCACTTGGTCCCTATGTGGGATAGAGATGAATTGCTTTTAAATTTATTTTTTAATGGTGTGAGAGGCCCTGCATATTTGTGAAACTGTTGAGAACTATGAATGTCATAAATATAATTTTTTTTATTAGAGAGAGGGAACTCTTTCATTGATGCTTCACTTCCCAAATGCCTGCAACAGCCAGGGATGAGTTGGGGCGAAAGATGGATGCCGGAAATTCAATCCAGGTCTCCCACATAGGTGATAGGAATCCAATCTCTTGAGTCATCCCCACTGCCTACAAGGGCTACTTTAGAAAGAAGCTGGAATCAGGAGCTGGAGTCGGGAGTCAAACCAAGGAACTCTGATATGGAATATGAGTGTCTTAACTAGCGTCATGACCACTAGGCTAAATGCCCCACTATGAATGTTTTACTCAGAAAAATACACATAAGCACATATACATAAAATTGTGTGATAATTTTATTGCATTCAAAATGTCAATACAAACAAAACATGTAAATTATGTCTCTCATTTTTATTTTTATTTTTTATGAAAAGTAATGACCTCTGAAAAATAGAGAAAAAAATTTTGCTCTGAGTAAATTTCAATGAGAAATTACAGTTATTTGGCAACACGGTGAAGTTTTTTTTTTTTTTTAAAGTTTATTTTATTTATTTGAAAGACAGATTATAGAGTGGGGGGAGAGATAGAGAGATTTTTTTTCCATCTGCTGGTTCACTCCACAAATGGCCATGATGGCCAGAGCTGGGCCAGCTCTCCCACATGGATGCAGGGGCCCAAGCACTTGGGCCATCTTCTGTTGCTCTCCCAGGTTCATTAGTAAGGAGCTGGATTGGAGGTAGAGCCACCAGGACTTGAGCCTTGCCCATATAGGATGCTGGCGTTGCCCGATTAGGTTAAGGCAGTGGCTTAACCTGCTATGCCACAGCATCAGCCATGAGAGTGACCATTACTGTGACAATATGTACGTTATTTATACATTTAATTATAATGCTTACAATTTCAAATATTAATTCACTCTTCTAGGTACTGTACTAAAAACTTCACATACTCTGTCTCCTTTAATCTTGACAACCACCTGTATCTACGTTGCAAATAGGGAAAGTGAGCATTTTTGTGTTTCCATATTAGCTAGAAAGCATTGGGTCTAGACTTGAACTAAGATCATTCTGACTTCATCCTTTGTGGTCTGAATGCCCACACTGTTCTGCCTCTCTGAAGGGAAGACCTCGGTAACCCCAGTCCATCACTTCATGTTTTCTTTTTGAGGCAACAATGGTAGAAAGCCCTGATGAATTAGATCTACAGTAAGCAGTGGAATCAGAGCCTTCTGTGGTTTTGCCAGGTTAAGTTGGGCTGTTTGGGAAGTCACATTGTCTTCCAGTCAATCAGATCTAGATTATTTGTGGTTTTTATAGAATGTACATTAGTATTCATACTTCAGTTTTAAGGTTTTCTGAGTCATCAAATGGTATCTATAGTTTTTTATTTTATTTTACTTTTTTCTGTGGTTAAACTGCCATGGCTTTGCCACCTTCTCTAAGGTTGTGCCAAAGTGCTTCCTCCAGCTTTATCAAGTTCTATAGTTGTCTGGTCTTCTAGTTCAGAACAGCAAAAGAAAAAGCATTGTCTGACAGTATTCACCCTGGTTAATGCCTTTCATGGAAAGACTTCTGAAATTCATTCAGCCCCAAACATCTACTAGTCATTCAAAAAAGCCAAGTGGCTCAACTTAGTCTTAAATATTCTGAGTATGTGTTTTCCTTTTTGTTTTTTAAAATGGGCCATTGATTTAAATGTTAAACAAGCACTTCAAGGCATGACATATAAAATGACTGTGCATAGTATAGAACACTTGTTTATTCTGCTTCTATTTCTTAATAAGATGTCTTGTTAATAGGTCATGGTTGAGGGCTTTGGTTCTGATAAAGTTGATAGCATTTCATGAGAGCAGACAAGATCTGACTCAGAAATTCTTGAATATACTTATCATTTTTATATGCTATTGACAGATACATTAATAATCTTTTTGTCACCAAAAAATTGCACAGTGAGATAGATTGCCAAGTACAATACTTTCTCCTTCTATGCTCCCAGGAATGAGATTTCCTATCTAGTTAAGTTTTGCTTGACAAAGAAATTTTTCAAAACTATGACTTTTGCAATTTCCAAAGGCACTCAGAATTGAAGTTCTTCTCTGACAATGCCAGCTTGCCTCGCTCACTCTTCATCTAGGATTTCACATGATGATCTAGATGTTACATTGACCGTCACTGCCTCAGAGAGACCTTTCTTAGCCATTCAGCAGAAATTGTCCCATTTTTCTCTTTTACATTAATTTTTAGTAGCTTTCACCACTGATAATTTCTTGCTTATTTGCTTCCTGTGTGATTGCCTGTCTCCCTGTTTCTAAAATGAAAGCTCCAAGAGAACAGGGAGCTGATTTATTAACTTGCATTCCTTGCACCTAGGTTATAGTTGTCAATGCATAGCTAATGAGTAAATGATAGAACCATATGAAAACAATAAATTGAACTGTTTTAATCCATTGGGGCTGCTACAACACAAAACCATAAACTAGGTATTTTGTAAACAACATACATTTATTTCTCACAGCCCTGGAGGCTGGAAAGTCTGAGATCAAGCACTAGCAGCTTCAGCATCCGGCGAGGGCTTGCTTCTTGGTTGAAGACGGTATCTTCTTGCTACTGCTTTATAGGGCGGAAGAGAAGAACGGTGGTCTCTTCAGCCTTAAGGGGCTGAATCCCATTTCTTAGGCTTCACCCTCATGACCTA